GATTTGCTTCAAAATTTTGTATACAGGTAGCAAAGAGTGTGCTAATAGTGAGAGCCTTTTGCCGTCAGAAAGTATTTTGACCCACTTTTGAGATATGGTGTCCGTAAAGTAGGTCAAAATAAAAATTTCTCATAATTTAACTTATGAGTTATGAATTAAGGGTAGAATTTTCTCAGGAATCCGAATCTGCAAACCAAATTTCAATCCGACTTTTCGTTGGGAAGTTATGGCGTTTTGAAAGCTCAAAAATCGCTAATTTTGGTGCCCCATGTTATGTCAATGAGAAAAAAGATTTTTTTGAAGTGTAAAATACCAGATAAAGACTGAGTACAGCTTAAGATTCTGAAAGTCTATAAAAGAAGGGGACCTCGAAGGCTATCTAGCTTTAAAATTTGGACACCAGAATCCCTAGGTCAAAATCTAGGTCAAATACATAATTTTTCCTTATTTTTGCGATTCTGGCACTACACTTTTAGGATTTGCTTCACAATTTTGTATACAGGTAGCAAAGAGTGTGCTTATAGTGTTAGCCTTTTGCCGTCAGAGAGTATTTTGACCCACTTTTGAGATATGGTGTCCGAAAAGTAGGTCAAAATAAAAAATTCTCCAAATTTAACATATGAGTTATGAATTAAGAGTAGAATTTTCTCAGGAATCCGAATCTGCAAACCAAATTTCGATCCGACTTCCGGTTCTAAAGTTATGGCGTGTCCGAAAAGTACGTCAAAATAAAAATTCGCCAAATTTAACGTATGAGTTATGAATAAGGGGTAGAATTTTGTCAGGAATTCGAATCTTTAAATCAAATTTCGATCCGACTTCTGGTTTGAAAGTTATGGCGTTTTGAAATTTCGAGAAAAATCGATCTGATGTTATCCTGAAAGTCAAGCAAAAAAGATTTTTTTGTAGTGTAAAATACGAGATATAGATTGAGTACACCTTTAGATAATGAATTCCTATAAAAGAAGGGGACCTCAAAAGCTACCTAGTTTCAATATTTGGACACCAAAATGCCTAGGTCAAAATCTAGGTCAAATTCATAGTTTTTCCTTATTTTTGCGATTCTGGCACTACACTTTTAGGATTTGCTTCAAAATTTTGTATACAGGTAGCAAAGAGTGTGCTAATAGTGTTAGCCTTTTGCCGTCAGAGAGTATTTTGACCCACTTTTGAGATATGGTGTCCGAAAAGTAGGTCAAAATAAAAGTTCTCCGAATTTAGCATATGAGTTATGAAATAAGGATAGAATTTTCTGAGGAATCTGAATCTGCAAACCAAATTTCGATCCGACTTTCTGTTTGAAAGTAATAGCGTTTTGAAAGCTCAAAAATTGCTAAATTTGGTGCCCCATGTTATGTCAATAGGGAAAAAGATTTTTTTGAAGTCTAAAATACCAGATATAGACTGAGTACAGCTTAACATTCTGAAAGCCTTTAAAAGAAGGGGACCTCGAAGGCTATCTAGCTTTAAAATTTGGACACCAAAATGCCAAGGTCAAAATCTAGGGCAAATTCATAATTTTCCTTATTTTTGCGATTCTGACATTACACTTTAATGATTTGCTTCGAAATTTTGTATACAGGTAGCAAAGAGTGTGCTTATAGTGATAGCCTTTTGCCGTCAGAAAGTATTTTGACCCACTCTTGAGATATGGTGTCCAAAAAGTAGGTCAAAATAAAAAAATCTCCAAATTTAATGTATGAGTTATGAATTAAGGGTAGAATTTTCTCAGGAGTCCGAATCTTTAAACCAAAATACAATCTAACTTCTGGTTAGATAGTTATAGCGGTTTGAAGTCTCGAAAAGTCGCTATGATGATATCCCCATGTTAAGCCAATGGAGTCGAAGATAAAAAATGGAGAGTTGTCTAAATTCTAGCTGACTCGATCAGCTTATTCTGGATGACTCAGCTTACAAGTATTCTGGATGACTCAGCTTAAAAAAAGAATTAAATCTGGAGTCTTAAATTGAACTTGTTCAATTTACATGTCTAGTTATTATTTATCTTTCTTTCTTTCTTTCCGAACACTTTTTCTCAGCAACTAGAAGAACTTACTTTAACCTACTTACATGGCTAACATAGCCCATCGACCTAGTTTCTGGGAAATTAGGTCAAGTTTGTATCTAGGTCAAAGGTCAAGAACCAGGTCAAATTTAGGTCAAATCAACATTCTGTCAATTATCTTCGTTGTTTATTGTCGTTACTCCTTCATCTTTTTTTTATCATGTAGCTTAGAAAAAAACAAATCGAGAGTGTGCCATCCGTTTTTTGATTACTCTTAGCGATTTTGAGATATGGCGTCCGGAAAGTAGGTCAAACTAAAAAAGTTCTCCAAATTTAACATATGAGCTATGGAATAAGGGTAGGATTTCCTCAGGAATCCGAATCTGCAAACCAAATTTCGATCCGACTTCCCGTTTGAAAGTTATGGCGTTTTGAAATTTCGAGAAAAATCGATCTGATGTTATCCTGATAGAAAGTCAAGGAAAAAAGATTTTTTTGAAGTGTAAAATATGAGATATAGATTGAGTACAGCTTAAGATAATGAATTCCTATAAAAGAAGGGGACCTCAAAAGCTACCTAGTTTCAATATTTGGACACCAAAATGCCTAGGTCAAAATCTAGGTCAAATTCATAGTTTTTCCTTATTTTTGCGATTCTGGCACTACACTTTTACGATTTGCTTCAAAATTTTGTATACAGGTAGCAAAGAGTGTGCTAATAGTGTTAGCCTTTTGCCGTCAGAGAGTATTTTGACCCACTTTTGAGATATGGTGTCCGAAAAGTAGGTCAAAATAAAACATTCTCCAAATTTAACATATGAGTTATGAATTAAGAGTAGAATTTTCTCAGGAATCCGAATCTGCAAATCAAATTTCGATCTGACTTCCAGTTCAAAAGTTATGGCGTGTCCAAAAAGTAGGTCAAAATAAAAATTTGCTAAATTTAACGTATGAGTTATGAATTAGGGGTAGAATTTTGTCAGGAATCCGAATCTTTAAATCAAATTCTGATTTGACTGCCAGTTCGGAAGTTATGGCGTTTTGAAATTTCGAAAAATCGTTCTGATGGTATCCTGATAGAAAGTCAAGGAAAAAAGATTTTTTTGAAGTGTAAAATACGAGATATAGATTGAGTACAGCTTAAGATAATGAATTCCTATAAAAGAAGGGAACCTCAAAAGCTACCTAGTTTCAATATTTGGACACCAAAATGCCTAGGTCAAAATCTAGGTCAAATTCATAGTTTTTCCTTATTTTTGCTATTCTGGCACTACACTTTTAGGATTTGCTTCAAAATTTTGTATACAGGTAGCAAAGAGTGTGCTAATAGTGAGAGCCTTTTGCCGACAGAAAGTATTTTGACCCACTTTTGAGATATCGTGTCCGTGAAGTAGGTCAAAATAAAAAGTTGTCATAATTTAACTTACGAGTTATGAATTAAGGGTAGAATTTTCTCAGGAATCCGAATCTGCAAACCAAATTTCAATCCGACTTCCGGTCAAAAATTCCTACTTACCTACCTACTTACCTACTCGGCTACCTACTTAGCTACCTACTCAGCTACTTACTCAGCTACCTACTCAGCTACTTACTCAGCTACCTGCCCAGTTGCTTACTCAGCTACCTACTCAGCTACTTACTCAATTACTTAATTATCTACTTACTCAGCTTCCTACTCAGTTACTTACTCAGCTCTTTACTCAAGTAAATCAATCTGGAGTCTTAAATTGAACTTTGTTCAATTTACCAATCTAGTTATATATATAATTCCTTAGACGACAATATGGATATACACCTTAAGGTGCCATGGAAGATTCCCTGAAGATTTTTAAATAAAGAAACATGTAGGAATAATTTCTCTGTCTTTATTTCGGATTATTTTATTATATATAATTATATATATATTAACATACCTACATATGTCGTCCTCTAATAATTTTTATCATCGTACCTAAAAAAAGTACAATATTGTCGGGCGGGCGGGGGCTGGGTGGCGTATAACTTTCTTGTCATCACGATTCCAGGAAAACCACTCTATGGATTTACTTCAAATTTTCACATGTGTTACATGGTAAGAAGTTCTAGACCTGATTAACTTTTGGTCGGCCATCTTGCATTCTGGTGGCCATCTTGGAAGTCATCTTGGAAGTTTTAAGTTAAATCTTGTCATCACGATTCCAGGAAAACTACTCAACGGATTTACTTCTGACACTTTCACACATGTCACATAGTAAGAAGTTCTAGAGCTGATGAACTTTTCGACAGCCATCTTGCATTCTGGCGGCCATGTTGGAAGTTTTAAGTCAAATCTTGTCATCACGATTCCAGGAAAACTACTCAACGGATTTACTTCTGAGACACTTTTCACACATGTCACAGTTCTAGAGCTGATGAACTTTTCGGCAGCCATCTTGCATTCTGGCGGCCATGTTGGAAGTATTAAGATAAATTTTGTCATCGCGATTGCAGGAAAACCACTATGTTACATATTAAGAAGTTCTAGAGCTGATTAACTTTTCGGCAGCCATCTTGCATTCTGGCGGCAATCTTGGAGGATTCTAGATAAATCAACTCATCGCGATTTCAAGAAAACCACTTAACGGATTTATTTTAAATATTCACGCATGTTACATGGTAAGAAGTTCTAGAGCTGATTAACTTTTCAACAGCCATCTTGCATTCCAGCTGCCATTTTGAAAGTTTATAGGTAAATCTTGCCATCGTAATTCCAAGAAAACCACTGAACGAATTTACAACAAAATGTTAACATGTAGTGGCTATAGTTTCTGACATTTACAGCCAATTTTCAAAGATATCAGAACTACTGTATAGGATATACTCTATTGTCATTGCTATTTATTGACATACTACATTGCTAAATATTGTAAAGAGTATTATGAGTTTGAAATCTGAGTTCTCGTCTACGTCCATTGGGTGTATATTTGTTTGTTCTTATAGAAATTGAACATAGAGCAACCGAACGGACTGTCACATCATGTTGGCAATACTTGTAGCAGTGGCAGTAGTGCTTCTATTTGGGTTTATATGGAATAAAACACGCAGTAGATTGACACACATCCCAGGTCCTAGTGGGATACCCATAGCAGGAAATGCCTTGGAAATAACGAGCTGCTTCAAATTGATAAGCAAACTGCATGAATGGATGGAGAAATATGGCGAGATCTTCAAAATTAATATTTTTGGAGATGAGATTTTAGTCGTGAGTGGAGCACTGATTGGAGAAATGTTGGTTACAAAAGGTATCCAGTTTCTCTTTATATATAAAGCACCCATACCAAGTTTGGGAAATATTTTATAATTTGTTTACGATCTTTCATCCCTTAAAAATAATTTAGAAAAATAAGTTGTCAGTTTTTAATTTCTCAAATATTCAAACTTCACGCCATTTTCAAAAATGTAGAAATTTTGTAATTATCAAAATTTACTTTTTCTCAAAATCTAGCAATTGTAATGCAGTTTACTTTAAGCCACTCTTGTTTGTTACATATTTTGCATAACTCTGTAATATTTTGATGCATATACATGGTGGGCCAAGAAACAATACACATGTTTCAAGATAAATATCATAGTGATATATGTTAAACAATGTCATATATTATATATCATTTTAAAGAACATATAACATAATGACACCATCTGATTTTGTTTTCAAGTGAGGTTAGAAAGTAAAATTGACACCAGGGGTGTTTTGAGCGACCAAAATCAAGAAGTGAAAATCGATTTTGAGTTTTTTCAGACCAAAATATCCTAAAACTGGTAAAAAGATTCTCGTTCAAACTTTCGGCTCACACTATAAGTATAATCTCATTAATGAGTATATCAAAGGATTTAACAATTTTTCAATTTTTGAACACGAACTTCTCACAAAGCAAAATATACATAAATATGGCATAAAATGTGAAAATATGAAATTGGCGCTTCATCTTAAACGACTATAAAAAATTGAAAATTAAAATTCAGGCAAATCAAAAAAATAGAGTGTTGGAAATTGCTTCTAGTTTGTCCATGTTCATGATGATCCAATGCAGGGAAAATGTTTAAAACAAGCTTTGAAGTTTGTGACTATTAAGTGTGCGGGGTACTAAGTAAAAAATGCGTTCAGATGAGTGTCAATGGAGTTGGTTTGACACAGATTGCATGTTGGTTTTTCTAATGCGTGTTAATAACGGTTGATGTCTCAAGACTTGGTCTGGGTCACCACTCTCGAAGAACTTTTTAATATATTAAAGACCTTCAAATGAAAGTAACTGCTTAAAAACTGTTTCAGGTAGCGATTTTGCTGGTCGACCCAAAATACCTACATGGGAAAAAGTTTTCAAAAATGAGGTTCACTTGGTGCTAAGGGATTATGATCCTAAGTTACGTTTCATTCGTAAGCTTGTACATAAAGGACTCCGTCAGTATGGAGAAGGGATGGACAAAATTGAAGCTATCACCGTGACAGAAATTGGTAAATGTTTAGACAAGATTGATAAATTAGATGGAGCAGATTTTGACCCGTTTACATACATTCACCATTCTATCAGCCAAGTGATGAATACCCTGGTGAGTTGTAGTTATACTTACATTGCCCATCGAGAATTATTTTTGCAATTTGGGAGGCAGTGCCTGAAGGAGTGTCCATGCTGAACATAGATAATAAATGTTGTTGTGGGTATAACTTCATATTATCTTAACATGTAACTCGAGAGGCAGTGCCTGAAGGACACCCCAGGTAAATGGAGATTCAGTGCCTGACGGACACCCCATGTTTAACAAAGAAATATATGTTGTTGTGGGTATAACTTCTATATAACATTGTCTTAACATAAACAGGCAACAGGAGATGCAGTGCCTGAAGGACACATCATGCTGAACAATGATAACGAATGGTGTTTTGAGTGTAACTCCTATGTCACATTGTTTTAATAGGTAATAGGAGAGGCCATCTCGGAAGGACACCCCATGCTGAACAAAGATAACGTATGTTGTTTTGAGTATTAACTTCTATATAACATTGTTTTAACAGGTAACAGGAGAGGCAGTGCCTGGAGGACATCCCATGCTGAACAAAGATAACGTATGTTGTTTTGAGTATTAACTTCTATATAACATTGTCTTAACAGGTAACGGGAGAGGCAGTGCATGGAGGACATCCCATGCTGAACAAAGATAACGTATGTTGTTTTGAGTATTAACTTCTATATAACATTGTCTTAACAGGTAACAGGAGAGGCAGTGCCTGGAGGACATCACATGCTTAACAAAGATAACATATGTTGTTTTGAGTATAACTTCTATATAACATTGTCTTAACAGGTAACGGGAGAGGCAGTGCATGGAGGACATCCCATGCTGAACAAAGATAACGTATGTTGTTTTGAGTATTAACTTCTATATAACATTGTCTTAACAGGTAACGGGAGAGGCAGTGCCTGGAGGACATCCCATGCTAAACAAAGATAACATATGTTGTTTTGAGTATAACTTCTATGTAACATTGTCTTTACATGTAACTGGAGAGGCAATGCCTGAAGGACACCCTATGCTGAACAAATATAACATATGTTATTATGGGTATAACTTCTATGTAAAATTGTCTTGACATGTAACTGGAGAGGCAATGCCTGGAGGACACCCTATGCTGAGCAAAGATAACATATGTCGTTGTGGGCATAACTTCTATGTAACATTGTCTTAACGTGTAACTGGAGAGGCAGTGCCTGAAGGACATCCCATGCAGAACAAAAATAACATATGTTGTTGTTGATATATCTATTATGTAACATTGTCTTAACAGGTAACCAGAGAGTTAGTGCCTGGATGACATCCCATGCTTAACAAATATAAAGTATATTGTTGTGGGTATATCTACTATGTAATATTGTTTTAACAGGTAACAGGAGAGGCAGTGCCTGATGGTCATCCAATGCTGAACAAAGCTATTGACTGGGACAAACTCGATGGAGAGATTGGTCAAGATCCGGCATTTTTTCTGCCTGCAATGGAAAAAATGTCATTTTTATTTGGTGAGGGAAAAATAAAGGATTATACTGACGTCATGGAGTTTTTCATTGAACACTGGAGAAGTTACGAGGTAAAATATATGTTTACTACAATTTGATTAGTCTGACTATTCTGCATATAGTGAAACAGTGTAAGTGTAAATGAAATCGCATACCTCAAAATCATCCAAAATTATATCAGATTCATGTAGGTAGACAGTGCAGAAACATCTATTGGGAGATACTCACAGCTCATTGAATTTATTGACAAACACAGTAATTTCAAAGATGAACTGACTGGTATATCAGATATTGAAATAAATGGAAAAATTGGACGCATATGTACCAACTCTTCCAGGCAACGTATGATAAAGAGAACATGAGAGGACTCTATGATGTCATATACAAGGCATATCTTGAATCTGAGACAGATGAAGAGGGAGTCAAGATATCATACAACAATGTAAAGTATCTCATGTTTGAGCTATACGGTGCAGGTATGTAATCAAATTTTTCAATACAAAATAACTGATTGTCTACTTATTTTTCTTGATGACTATATTCTAAGTGATTAACACAAAACGACATAGGCATTTTCATATGTTATACTAGTACATGCTTGCCTGTGACAAGGTTGATGAATTGCCCGGTTTTTTGTATTTCTAGTAACGAAGCAAATATAAATTGCATGTCTATCTACTTTTTCTTCGTACATTGCAGTTTTCTTTTGTGAACAAAAATTAAAACTTAAGAGAAGAGATGAGACGAGATGTCTCAATTTTACAATCTTTCATTCTATGCCATGCATATATTCAACAGTTCAACAGTTCTTACGTTATTTTGGATTATCCTTCGATTTCAAAAATGAAAACGGATTCGAGTCTTTTATTGGCTAGATGGTTTCACCCTAATTTATAAATTGCATAGGCTAATGTTTTGGGACCTCAACTCTTTCAATTTTCAATATGCTTAGTTAGTTATCTCTGACTCAATTTTCAGATTTTATGTGCTGGTGCCTAATAGGCATAAAACATTGCCAAGGTAAAATTTGAGGATGACTGCCGAATTCTAAATGGCCGCCATTTTCAGGTTAAAACATAGAACTTCTACTCAAGATGAAATTTATAATTTGGTGTCACATTCAATTGTGGGTGTAGCTTTTCTGAATATGAGACAACACTACACTACTGCCTACTTATTTCTCTATCATGAAATGTCCTCATGTTGATAGACTATATTTTGTTCGGTGGGATTGCTACTTAGGGAGTAGCTGTTTTTCTTATCATTCTAAACTATTCCAAAGGGAGAGTTTATGTTTTGGATTGCTTTTCATTACAGGTATCATTACTACACACAAAGCAATCTATGCATTTGTTCACATGATGGTAACACACCCTGGGATACAGAAAAGAATCCAAGCTCAAATTGATGATGTTATTGGTTCCCAGCGAAACCCAACTACAGCAGACAAGCGTAAGGTTCCTCTATTAGAGGCAACCATACATGAAACGCTTAGATACATATCACATGTTCCGTTCGCGCTTCCTCATGAAACGAAAAGAGAGACAAGCTTGGGAGGATTTGCCATACCGAACAAGACCCAGGTTATTTTTCTTCATGACTTAATTATAAATTATTAATCATAATTCATCAATACTCGATAAGTCAGTGTATGTTTACTAACCTTAAATTCTATTTATCAAACTATGCTGAATTTCTAGGTTTGGCCATTTATATCTGGCAACCACTACAACCCTAAATACTTCAAAGACCCGTTGAGCTTCAACCCTGACCGTTTCTTAGAGCATGATGGCTCAGTATCACATGCTAGCTCAAGGAGAATGTAAGTGCCTATGTGTTGGTTTGTCACAGTCATACTTGCTTGTTTCTATTCCTAGTTTTAAGTTAAAAGCCATGATTTCAATGTACAGTTTCATAATTCTCAGACATCCAACCTGAATGTGATTACCAGCAAATATACGTATACTTAAAACGTCTTGTTTTAAATACCTTGTTTTGAAGATCTTTTACCTAAATCACTTGTCAGAATGGCTTCGTGGCATTGACAATGTGAAGAGAAATTATGAAATAATATAAGCTGGAAGCCATCTTGTCATATGATTTCTAATAATGCTTACAGAAGTGATGAACAGAAATCGTTCTGAGATTTTTAACTCCTGGTAAACAAATACAAATAAGAATAAAAATAAAATTATGAATAAGCAAAAACCTTATTTTTATATTGCGCATTGCTGCCCGTGCACTTTTCAGCATTAACTTTTTATTCCTTTCATTTTGAAGGTTAACACCATTTGGAGCAGGGCCGCGCAACTGCGTTGGGGAGGTATTTGCCAGGACGAGGCTGTTTTTATTCACTGCGAGCCTGTTACAACGATTCAGACTTCTTCAACCAAATGAAGGAAAGCTTGATGTTCTTGATCCGAAAAGGGAGGATTATTTCACAAAGCTTCCTAATATTTGCCCAAATTTCAAAATCAGAGCAATCCACAGATGAAACAACTCTTTAATGGCGCAACGTATGTGGTAGACACTATCAGAGAACAGTATGATGAAAGTCCCATGGAATTTCAAACAATGTTTGGGTGAACTTAACCAAACTCGTCTGATCCACTTTCTAATCTGCAACAATTGAGTATTTACTCTTAAAAGACACAATACTTTTTCAATGTACAATATGCTCTGATATATATGTCTAGAGGACGGTAAATTGAGTCATTAAGCATGAATTACCCTACATAAGAAAGGGAACCAATGTAACTATTTTTCTCGGTACTCAAGTCGACGAAAACTTTTCTTGAACGCCACATAAAAAATATGTTGAGACTAAGATTCCCAAGATACTATGTACACAGAATAAAGTATAACTTAGATCAAAATAGCCTTAAAACAATATATTGCTGGTTTATTATACTCATCCCTAAACTACTATATTATAACATCCTAATTTGGGAAAGTGTGCCACATACTAATTTATTAAAATTACACAGACTGCAAAAACAATTTAATATAAGATTATATTAGTTAGATTGTCAGATACGTGAACGATACACATCCTTTATTTAAAAAATCTGGTATATTTAGCATTTTTCAAATTGTAGATTTTAACATTACTATTTAATACGTAGTCGTCTAACGACATTGCGTTTGAAACCTTATTATTTACAATATTCACCACGTTCCTGTTCTGGATTTGTCATTTTATGGCTTGTTTATACACAGTTTACTTACAGTAAATAGTTTGAGTGACTCTGAGTCACATATACTGAGAAAACACGAGAATGAACTAAAAAAATTGAACTTGGATAGCTCAGTCGGTAAGTTTAACTTGGATATCTCAGTCGGTAAGTTTACAGCTTATATTCTGCTTCTAGTAATCCATCTGGCAGATTTGACCTAGTCTCTTTAACCATCCATATATACGTCACCGAATGGAACTAGTTGAAAAGGAAATCGTATCTGTGAATCTTGCTTACAGGCGAGAAAGAGGACATGCTGTCTTTCCCATCCGCCATTTTTTGTTATCGTAACCGCAAAATTTTGCAAATCGCCATGATATAACACCGTGGTATACAACGTATTAACACATGTCCTATGATGGCATGTTATCATACCGGTGTGTATTAGGAGATCCTTAGTACAATCAGCGTGTCTAAAGTATCATCCCTGTATTGCGTACCTATGTCCAAGGATTGTATGTTATCGTATTGGAGTGTATTAGGGGGTAGGACTTATGTTGTACAATCCTTGTATCTGGAGTATCTTCAATGTATTATGTACCATTATTATATACCTCAAATGTATTCTAGATGCTCATTGGCTTATTCATGGTCACATGACATGGAATAGATGAACTAATTCCCTGGAAAGTCCTAAATCCCTGCTTTCAGGGAAGATGAATTGTACTAATCACCAGTTAGGTCATGTGACCAGTCAATAGTACATTTTATCTTCCCCCAAATCTGACATTATAGGAGTTGAAAGGTAAAATGCCTTTAAATGCCAAGAAGAACCTGTGAACATTTGATATTGAAATGAAAAGACTTCTCATTTTGTTTTTGTTTACAGAGTACTTATCAGCTATATAATAAAACAAATAGTGACTGCCACATTTTCGGGAAATAGTGTAAAAATTTTCCTCTCGGGAATATCCTGTCCACTGACTTGTTCCCTCGGCCTGCAGCCTCGGGAACATGTCAGTGGACAGGATATTCCCTTGAGGAAAATATTTTGCACTATTTCCCTCAATGGCAGTCACTATTTGTACAATATGTCCCGGGATGGGATATTATCTTATTGGTGTGTACACCTAGTCCAATATCTTCGCTGTATTGTGCACCTTTATCCTATGCCAAGTAGTTTTAGGGAGATAAGTTGGTAAGATATATCCCGTATCCTGATTTTGAGGTTTCCATATCTAGAACCTCCATATCTCCCGCCATATCTCCCGCTTCGGTGCATATCTTCCCGCTTCCGGTAATGCAATAAAATGACTTTGCATATGAATGATTTGTTAATTTTTACACCTTGTACTATTGAAATGGCCATATGCCCCTGAAAACTCTACTTGGTATAGGATAAAGCAGTTATGTACGGTCGGTTTGGATATTGGGTTCATCCTTCGTGAGATATGCACATCGACCTTCGGTCCCTCAGGTAGATATGCATATCTCCCTCTCGATAAACCCCATATCCAAAACCTCCCAGTACATAACCCTTATATATGTCCAAGGATTGTATGTTATCGTATTGGTGTGTATTAGGGAGTAGGACATCCCAAGTACAATCCCCGTATCTGGAGTATCTTCCATATATTATGTATCTATATGTCCTTGGAGGGGATGTTATCGTATTGGTGTATAAGGACACCCCTAATACAATACCCGTATCTGGAGTATCTTCCATATATTGTGTACCTGTATATCTCGTATGCTATCGCATTGTAGTAGTAGTACATTCCTAGTAAAAATCGCGTATCTACATGTAGATTATCTTCTCAATGTATCATGTACCTATAATGTGTCCTGGGATGGCCGATGATATTATTGGTGATGAGTGTATTGGTATGTATCAGCACATTCCTTGTACAATCCCCGTATCTGGAGTATCTTCCATGTATTAATATGTACATACATGTCCTTGGATGGCATGTGATCGTATCATGGCATGCCTAATACAATTTGCGTATCAAGAGTATCGCCCATGTATTATGTACTATCTGGGATGGCATGTTATTGTATTTAGTGTGTATCGAGGACATCCTTATTCCAATCCGCGTATCTAGAGTATCTTCCATGTATCATGTACTCATATATCCTGGTATCCGGATGATATACTATCGTACTGGTGTTTATCATGGCATGCCTAATACAATTCGCGTATCAAGAGTATCTCCCATGTATTATGTACTATCTGGGATGGCATGTTATTGTATTAGTGTGTATCGAGGACATCCTTATTCCAATCCGCGTATCTAGAGTATCTTCCATGAATTGTGTACCTATATGTCAAGGGATGGCATGATATCATATTGGTGTATATTAGGCCATCCCTGGTACAATCCCTGTATCTAGAGTATCGTCCATGTATTGTGTAAGTTACCTATATGTCCAGGGATGGCATGATATCGTATTCTACATAGAATTTATCCTACGAATATACTTTTAGAAAAAATGAAAATATCAAATTCACCAAATTGTAAATATTGTAAGCACATGCTAGACACATATTATTATGAGCCTTATTATACTTGTATCCCACATTTGGACAAAGTGTACAGCTTAAACAGAAAAAAATGAAAAAGCTTAACTAATTATCTATATATTATATTAACTAATCAAAGGGTGCTTGATCATTGCAAGATTTTATTGGATGCATTTCGTGTTTTTTTTCTCTCTCGATAAAAATCTTAGATATATTTTGCTAGTATATTTAATATTATTCCCTCTGAATTAAATAGAAACATTAATTTGTGTTCCACGTTATTCATGTTTTCTAAATTTTGACAGTTTTAACTTGATTCCAAATAACTTATCAGTCACATATGAACATTTCTTTATACAATGTCCAAAGATTAGAGAAATATCGAATGAGGTAGAGAATCTAGTTTTGAAGAAATATTTTTATTACCCCAGATTAAATGTGACTGATAAGTTATTTGGAATCAAGTTAAAATTCGGATCTGAGGAATTATATATAAATAGCCTAATTGTCATAACTAATGCCTTGGTCATATATGCTCCGATCCATCGGCCGGCGCCCGGCCGATTGAGTGTTTTGTTCAATATTGTATTCAATTTTGAACGAAATACTCAATCGGCCTGGCGCCATAGTGAAAATCGGAGCAAATGTGACCAAGGCATAAGGTTTGTGTGAGTAAATATAAATATGGAAATTATCCAAATAGTTTATGTTTGCTCAGAAGCGAAATAGCGATTAGGAAATTGTAAAGAAAATATTATTATATATTGTGAAGTAATGTAATGTAATATGTTTATGTAGAAGCAATAAAAAGTTTAAAAAAATAGAATAAAATAAAAAATAAAAATAAATGTGTATATATTCATTAGAAAGTTTAGTCTGTTAGTATCAAGTATACTTTATCATGTATACAGTAGCTTTATAGCATATAGACCATAGACTCTAGTCTTACAGGGTGTCCAAAAAAAACAGGACCGTAAGAAAGTTGAATAACTTGGTCAATTTTGCATATTTTGCCTTGAAATTTCAGAATAATTTAGCTCATTCAATGTGAATTTTGTTGTAAAAGTTTGATAATAATCTACCAATTGAGTCAAAAACTACAGCTACTTACAAAACATGCCCCAAATGTGCAAATCTCATCTCTATGCACAATTCAATCCGGCGAACAAAGCTGTTGATGATCCTCCTACACACATGTCTTTCTGAATGGACAAGTTTGTTCCAAGAACAATTGCTACTGGGGCTTACATCCTCCTGATGAAGTGTTACAGCATCCATTGCATTCTGAACAATGCACTCCCTGGGTGGTAATGAGGAAACATGGAATCATCAGTCCCTTTAGGTTCGAAGGTGACTGGGGACTTGCTATCACCATGAAAAAGGACCAGTAAGTTCTCACCAAGTTCTGGAGGTCACTAAGCACCAGAAGGGACATCTAAGAAGATAACTAAGCAGTGGTTTCAACAAGCCAATACCACCCCAACACTGCAAATGATATGCTGAAATGGTTTAGAGAATGCTTTGGTGGTCAGCTCATCAGTTGCAGAACGCAAACCATATGGGCAGCTCATTCGCCTGATCTAAATCCCCCAAATTTTTATCTTTGAGGATTTCTCAAAGCCAATGTGTATACTGACAGGCCCCTCACAATCTTAAGAGGGCAATAACTACCCCAATATTTACCATTCACATTAATGTGTATAGGTAAGGGTCATTAACAACTTTGTTCGCAGGATTCGTTTGTGCATAGAGAGGAGAAGTGCCCACTTTGAGCATGTTTTGTAAAGGACTGTAGTTTTTGACACAATAAACAGATTATCATCAAATTTTCAGAACAAAATTCACATTGAATGAACTAAATAATTCTTAAATTTCAAGGCAAAATATGCAAAATTGACCGAGTTATTCAATTTTCTTACGGTCCTGTTTTTTTTTGGACACCCTGTACATTTTTTCTATTTAGAAGACTTTTTTAGCACGTGATAAGTCTTGTATAAGCCACTGTGGTGTCCTAGATTGTGACATGTTGCATGTTTTGTATATATTTTTATGATAAATAAATAAATAAATGATATCGTATTGGTGTATATTAGGGCATCCCTAGTACAATCCCTGTATCTAGAGCATATTCCAAGTATCATGTACTCATATCTCCTGGTATCCGGATGGTATACTATCGTACTGGTGTGTATTATGACATCCCTATTCCGATCAACGTAAACAATGAATATAAACACAACTATAACTTTAATGTGTAATAAATAAATATATTAATCATAATTAAATGATTAACGTAGACGAACAACGAATATAAACACAACTATAACTTTATAGTGTAATAAATAAATATATCACTCTGACACAACTGTTTTGTTTATTAATAAAGACACCCAAGGGGGTTTATAACTTCCCACAATTAATTTTACAATATAAATGAACAACTGTAAACATTCAAAGTGTTACATACATCTAAACAATGGTATAATACAATATATTACAATACAATATAAAAATACAAAAATATGAGACATTAAAGAAATAAAATAAAATAATATATATAATAGAAGTGAATTGTACAGGTTAACTTATAACTTGTTTCACGAATTATACAATTTGAATTGTATGCATATGATAAATATTCAGTAATTGTTAATTTATAATAGATATACTTTTAAATAAGAAGTTACATCTCTGCAATAGGGACATAACTGATTCCTCCTCGCCAGCTCCCTACTGCAGTCTTGTACTATGGCCACATTTGCCCTACTCAAACAGTCTCCATCAGGGGAGCGAACTCTCCTGTTAGTATGCCTTTGGGATGTACTTTTTCTCCATTCCTTCAGTAACTTTATTATCTAAAACAAATAATTGAAGACTATCTATTCATGTGAAAAAGGTGTTTAAATACTGTTACTTTCATTTTGAATAAAAGTTTTATATACTGAACTTTATTCTATAAGATAATTCAATAACATACTTTTCTATTTTGTTCTTGTTGAAAGACTCTTTCTTTCAGCACCATATTTGTGACCTAAAACCAAACGTCGAATAAATGTTAAGAATCTGACAAAACAATACATATTGAGAATATTATTATTTAAAACAAAACATTTTACATTCGTGTTTTATGAAGTATATTAATATTTTTCTTACTTCCATCCTTGTCACATATTCTTGGCAGCAACTGCCTGTGCTGGGACCAGCTGTGTTATCATTCTAAATAAATGTAATAAATGTAAACCATTACAGTTATTTTTGTGGACTACCCTGTAAAACCCTTACAACCATATTTTAAATAAGTCACCAATCTTTCTGAAATACCTTGTATACTTTTGATTTTTTTATTGTTTTCATTGTATAAATTTTAAGAATGTAACAAATCAATACATATTGAGAATATTATTTAAAATAAAATATGTTACAATTATATTTGATGAAGTATATTAATTATTTCTTACTTCTATTCTGGTTGAATGTGTAAGAGAACAACACGTTCTCCCAGCACTGGTGTTCTCATCCTAAATAAATGTAAAATAAAATTATATATATTTTTGGGTACACCCCGTAAAAATCCAAATGAATTATTTTAAATATGTCTTCATTTTTCTGAAACATCTTATATACTTGATACTGTTCGCAACTCCGTTAAATATAATGTGTAAATAAATTAAGAAGCTTTATCGTTTACAAAATGTTTGTTTTATTTTATTGAATTTTTTTTTAACTTACACAATCATCAACGATTTCTATGATGTCGCTATCACCGCTATCTTCACTTTCGGTTTCATTTGTTGGTATATCTATTTTTTGTTTTTTGGGCTGGAATAAAAAAAATAGAAGCTTTTTAAAATACATAATCATGAAGGGGCCTAGCATCAAACACATTGATTATTATAGATTACTCTCTATCCGTAACATGTTATGCTCCTTGTAGATATATTTTGAAACACTTCTTATTTTGTAATATACTACTTAAAGGAACATATATATTGAGATTTTTTGTAAAATATAAGAATTATTTTAGGGTTCTCTTTATTCTAACAAGCAATGAATCTTATGGATATCTTCTATAGTTTGAAATAAATATATGTATTGCATTATTTCCCATAAAGAAACAATTATATTGTCTAATGATTAATATTGTCTCTAAATACTTACAAACTTGTTTTTGATTTGTTAAATTCATCATCAGTCTATATACAATCATGTTATTAGATCAGTATTATTGAATAAATATTCATTTAACAGTATAAACATTCTGTATAACTATACATTTACATAAAATAATGAAGTGATTTTATGATGATTTATTTTTATATTATAACTAAAAGTAAACTTACATGGTGTTTAGGCGTCTTTACTTTTTTCCGTGTTGACTGCAATTTGATGGAAAACTTATTTAAATATGAATATTACCTACCAAGCTCCCCATTAACTGCCAGCTTCACACCTGGACGATTATCAAATAATAGGTTAATCTACCTATTTAGCAGCATTTACACTATTCTACAATAGTCCCTTTTCCATATAAATGGGAAAATAGATAACATCATGGTTGTTGGTAGGGCTAAATAACATGCCAACTTAATTTCTTGATTTAACAAGTGATTTCATTTGGATCAGCTTAAAACACCATTGAAATGTTACTATATGAACTTATTGACATGTGGATTATGAATTCACATTAAAATTGTGATCCTTATAAATGAACTAAATGAACTAAATGAACTTTTAACGTTTTTTCAACATTGTATCAATGAGGATTTAGCCCGAGCATTTTTGGAAAATTTGGAAGTCTCTAGAATTTGAATAAAGGTGAATAACATTGCAAATCAAAGTTGTTAACGTATACATAAATATATTGGGCGAGACTTGAGAATTAATATGCATTGTCACTCAAAATTGAAACTTCTGATTGGGTTTGGAGCCGAGATGCCCGGATATGACCGAGCAAAAGCCGGAATTCACGTGACTTTTCACAAAGAAGTCTCGATGAATCTCGTTTAAAATCCGCCCCTTTGCCATTTAAGGAAAGTGTCAATCCCCTGATTGTAAGTATAACTATGCCTTTTTGCCCTTATATGGAGAGGCGATACAATGTTGGATTGTCGGAACTTTTAAGCGAGAAATTCTGAATATTTTCGTGTCCATTACTCGATACTTCATTTGTATATTGCACCATTCTTTCGTCATGTTTACGATAAAAACATTTATACATCTCAATAATCTATTGACGAGTAGTTAATTGTAATGGTTTTGACAGAAATTCGATTAGAAAACTCAACTGCAGATTTTACTACCTACTCATGAAAACTTGCAGACACGCCATGACATGGCGAGGATGGTAATAAGCGTCTCTTGGTTAAAAAATCAATTCTCATCCGTATTTATGTGTAACATTAAATATATATTATATTAATATGTTTATTTACACTATAGGTTAATGTGTTACGATTTTGGTAGCCCTTGCAGATATATTTGCATAATAATTGACACTTTTATATTTCTTATAACATATAAACTTATAACTCATAAACTTCTTCTCAGGGGTTTTAACAGAGGAGAGCACTGAAGACATTCCCAATGCCATACAGTATATCCAAATACAAAGCTACCTAAATGACATAACATTTGATAGGGAAGAGATAATGAGGCAAATCAACAAACTGAAGCCGAATAAAGCCTCGGGTCCTGAAGGATTTACCAACAAATTATAGAACTGTGAGTTATATTCTGGAAACAATTTCCAACATGGAAAAAAACATTTTAAAGAAATTCCTACTTTTGTGATTTTGATTTTTCAAAAATACTAAATAGATCTATCTGTAGAGATATCAATTAATATAACACTGAACATGTTTAAGTAAAGATACAGTTTAAACACTTTATAGCTGCACACGAGTTCTTCAAAGGACAAGTCTAGGTTTGGAGAACAGTCTCCTGGGCTAATATTTTTATGAAAAATATAGAAATAACACCCAAATAATTATGAATATTCAAAAGAGGACATTTAAATCTACAATATGTAAAAATATCAAAATTGTCCAAAGCAGGCGTAACGTGCAGTTAATTGATGAACTTCGCTCTCCAAACCGAGACTAGTCTTTTCTCATTTTATAATCAGACAGACTTCGCATATTTTTAATACCCATTTTCTGACATGGTAGAGACTTAGTCAAATGTTTAAATATAAACATTGAACGAATGCGTCCCTTAATTTTGGATATTATCATAGATGAATACGGTTCTCTGGTATATCACATACTTTGTGCGATAAAATAATGCATGGTTTTATCTTGGGATTGCTCTGATTTTGAAGTTCGGACAAACACTAGGAATCTTCTTGAGATAATCCTCACTTTTTGGATCAAGAACATTAAGCTTTCCTTCAGTTGGTTGAAGGAGTGTGAATCGTTGTAACAGGCTCGCAGTGAATAAAAACAGCCTCGTCCTGGCAAATACCTCCCCAATGCAGTTACGCGGCCCTGCTCCAAATGGTGTTAACCTTTAAAAGAATAGGAATAAAAAATGAATGCAGAAAAGTGCACTAGTAGCAATATATTTAGTCTTAAATATTGATATCATAATAGAACTTAAGATTTAAAGAAACATTGCCAAAATTAGAACCCAAAACAACAATGACAGAATCACTTACATTCTCCTTGAGCTAGCAGGTGATAGAGAGCCATCATTCTCTAGGAACCTGTCAGGGTTGAAGCTCAAGGGGTCTTTGAAGTACTTCGGATTGTGGTGGTTGCCAGATGTTAATGGCCAAACCTAGAAATTCAGTTCAGTTTGGCAATAGAATTAAATTGAAAGTAAACGTGCATAATATTATAAATTAAACATAACATCACATCCTTTCCTGATAAGTCAAAATAAATACATGAAGCCATTAAAAATGAAAAGATTGATTGATACATCGAGACATGATTAATTGTAATTAAAGGCTGGCTGGAAAATATTACCTGTGTCTTGTTCGGTAGGGCAAATCCTCCTAGACTTGTATCTTTTCTCGTTTCATGCGGAAGCGCGAACGGAACATGAGATATATACCTCAACGTTTCATGTATCGTTGCCTCTAATAGAGGAATCTTATGTTTGTCTGCTGTAGTTGGGTTTCGCTCGGAACCAATAACATCATCAATTTGAGCTTGGATTCTCTTCTGTAGCTCGGGGTGTGTCACCATCATGTGAACAAATGCATAGATTGATTTGTGTGTAGTGGTGATGCCTACAGGAAAAACGTGAAAATATAGCAATCAAAAAACAATTACTTAACTATTTTGACATAGTTTACAGGGTAACTACAAAAACTCCCGGAGAACTAAATCACACTGAAAAATTGATTAAATCAATCAGTCATGTGGAACGTCATAAAAAGCCATGTATTATTGACTCGTTTTAGAAAAGCTACATCCACGGTGTGCCGTGACATCATACTAAAATTCCATCTTGAGAAGCGGTTCTATGACCACGAGGCATTACATTTCACCTGAAAATAGCAGCCATTTTGAATTCGACAGCCATCATGAAGATCCTATCAAAGCAGAGTAGATATTAGGCATATATAATTTTGAATCAACGGGCCATACTGGAAAAGTGTTATCTAGACTGGGGTCCTTAGACATAAGCCTATTAAATTTGGACCAAATTTGATAACTGATACCTATGATAAATAGTAGCCATTTTAAAGTCAGCAGCCATCTTGAAAATGTATTCGTTATCAGAGCGCCTACGTGAATGCCCCTTAGGTAATTTAAGTATCAAATATAACATTTTTACAGAAATCGTTTTACAACAAACGTACTCACATTGTCAAAGAGGAACCATATGTACTTGGCATAAATCATGTTAGCGGCTTTTAAATGACATTGTTTGAGATGACAAAACAAATGATATCAGAGATTTTGCTTGGGAGCATTTAGATCTGCTCCTCTATTGGATAAATCAGGGTGGGACCACTGAGCCAATGTTACAAGCCAGCATGGGTTACATGTGAAAATGCCTCTGTCGCCTGTGTCAAACCAAATGCAAAAAGAATATAATCAGAGTTGTATTGAAATGCTGATTTAAATACCTGCACCGTATAGCTCAAACATGAGGTACTTCACATTGTTGTATGAGATCTTGACTCCCTCTTCATCTGTCTCAGATTCAAGATATGCCTTGTATATGACATCATAGAGTCCTCTCATGTTCTCTTTATCATAGGTCGCCTGGAACAGGTGGCAAATATGAGACTTATCAAATGTTTTCTTTTTGTTTCAAAAAGGAATTTATCAAAAATACTAAAATATTTTTACCTCGTAACTTCTCCAGTGTTCAATGAAATATTCCATGACGTCAGCGTAATCGTTTAACTTTCCTATTCCTAATAAAAGTGATAAGCTACTCATTGCAGGCAGAAAAAGAGATGGGTCTTGACTTATCTCTCCATCGAGTCTGTCCCAGTCAATAGCTTTGTTTAGCATGGGGTGTCCTTCAGGCACTGCCTCTCCTGTTACCTGTTAAGACAATGTTACATAGAAGTTATACTCAAAACACCATTCGTTATCTATGTTCAGCATGGGGTGTCCATCAGGCACTGCCTCTCCTGTTACCTGTTAAGACAATGTTACATAGAAGTTATACTCAAAACACCATTCGTTATCTATGTTCAGCATGGGATGTCCTCCAGGCACTGCCTCTCCTGTTACCTGTTAAGACAATGTTACATTGAAGTTATACCTACAACAACATATGTTATCTTTGTTTAGCATGGGGTGTCCTTAAGGCACTGCCTCTCCTGTTACCTGTCAAGACAATGTTACATTGAAGTTATACCTACAACAAGAAGTTATACCTACAACAACATATGTTATCTTTGTTTAGCATGGGGTGTCCCTCAGGCACTGCCTCTCCTGTTACCTTTTAAGACAATGTTACATTGAAGTTATACCTACAACAACATATGTTATCTTTGTTTAGCATGGGGTGTCCTCCAGGCACTGCCTCTCCTGTTACCTGTCAAGACAATGTTACATTGAAGTTATACCTACAACAACATATGTTATCTTTGTTTAGCATGGGGTGTCCTCCAGGCACTGCCTCTCCTGTTACCTGTTAAGACAATGTTACATAGAAGTTATACTAAAAACAACATACGTTATCTTTGTTTAGCATGGAATGTCCCTCAGGCACTGCCCCACCTCAATCTGTTAAGACAATGTTACATAAAAGTTATACCTACAACAATATATGTTATCTTTGTTTAGCATGGGGTGTTCTTCAGGTACTGCTTCTCCTGTTACCTGTTAAGACAATGTTACATAGAAGTTATAATGTATCTACAACAACATATGTTATCTTTGTTTAGCATGGGGTGTCCATCAGGCACTGCCTCTCCTGTTACCTGTTAAGACAATGTTACATTGAAGTTATATCTACAACAACATATGTTATCTTTGTTTAGCATGGGATGCCATTCAGGCATTGCCTCTCCTGTTACCTCTGAAGACAATGTTACATAGAAGTTATACCCACAAAAACACGTGTTATCTTATTTTAGCATTCGGTGTCCTCCAGGCACTGCCTCTCCTGTTACCTGTCAAGACAATGTTACATAGAAGCTGTACCCACAACAACACGTGTTATCTTATTTTAGCATGGGATGTCCTTCAGGCACTGCCTCTCCTGTTACCTGTCAAGACAATGTTACATAGAAGTTATACCTACAACAACATATGTTATCTTTGTTCAGCATGGAATGTCCTTCAGGCAGTGCCTCTCCTGTTACCTGTTAAGACAATGTTACAAATAAGTTATACCCACAACAACATATGTTATCTTTGTTTAGCATGGGATGCCATTCAGGCATTGTCTCTCCTGTTACTTCTGAAGACAATGTTACATAGAAGTTATACCCACAACAACACGTGTTATCTTATTTTAGCATGCGGTGTCCTCCAGGCACTGCCTCTCCTGTTACCTGTCAAGACAATGTTACATAGAAGTTGTACCCACAACAACACGTGTTATCTTATTTTAGCACGGGATGTCCTTCAGGCACTGCCTCTCCTGTTACCTGTCAAGACAATGTTACATAGAAGTTATACCTACAACAACATATGTTATCTTTGTTCAGCATGGAATGTCCTTCAGGCAGTGCCTCTCCTGTTACCTATTAAGACAATGTTACATAGAAGTTATACCCAAAACAACATATCATATACATATGTTATCTCGAAATGACCTGTAAAATTGCCATTTCGTGAAATTTTCGAAATGACAAATGAAGTAATATTAAAGACAATTTAAAAAAGCATTTGGGGATTGTAATCATAATGCAAAAATATCTCTTGATAGGTAATGTATGTGTAACCTAATCATCGATCAAGCCCGGTGATAGGAAAAGGGGATGGAGAGGGGGTGGGCAATTTATCCTAGAAAATTCAACAAATCTGTAAGATTTATTTTACCAGGTGAAGGTTTACTGTTGAGTTGCTGAATGAATAGGAGCATGGTATGGTTAGGTAAAATATGTTAGGTACAGTTTCTTGAACAGATACGCTTCTAAGATATGGCATCTATTAAAAAGGCACAGCGTCACTAACGTGCACAATTCTAAAGTCTCCTCCATTTCGTTTCCCGATCACCAGGTGTCTAATAAAGTAACTTACCATGGTATTCATCACTTGGCTAATAGCATGGTGAATGTATGTAAACGGGTCAAAATCTGCTTCACCTATTTTCTCAATCTTGTCTAAACATTTACCAATTTCTTTCACGGTGATAGCTTCAATTTTATCCATCCCTTCTCCATACTGACGGAGTCCTTTATGTACAAGCTTACGAATAAAACGCAACGTAGGGTCATAACCCCTTAGTCCCAGGTGAACTTCATTTCCCTCAAGGCTTTCAAATGCAGGTATTCTAGGCCGGCCAGCAAAATCAATCCCTGAAAATGTCAGTTACAGAAAAAGCAATGTTCTTCCCAATACAAAGATAAAGATAGAAATTATTTGGTAGAATATTAAGTTAAAAGTTATATGTATAATAGCTGCTATGGATACTAGAAATTATAGTCTAAGTACAAGCATTTGACCCCCCCCCCTCCACTACACAACTTTATGAGAAGTTTTCATGTCTGTGTTGTCAAGTAGGGAGAGGGGGTTAAAATGAAATCATTGTTACAATTCTTATATGATAAACGTATTAGCTAAAATATATTTAGAAATCTTTTTTCTTTCAGAAAATCAATCAGAAAGGTTTGGGGAGAAATTAAGAGTGTACAGTATTAATATTAAAGAGGTGTCGTCAAAGGTGTAGGCATAGCCGCATAACTTATGTTCATTACTAAGCGATGGTTCCTTATGAACGGATAGAGCTGCGCGACAATATGAGGACGTATAGTGCATAATTTATCATTCACACATAGCTAGGCAAGGTGTGTCAGATTCTAGCCAATACGAGCACAGTATTTCACATGACAGTAGTGCATAACATAATCAATGACGCATTTGTTTTGTATGGTTGTCAAGGTGAGGAGATTGAAATTGATGCTTTGCCCTTGACCCTTGCAACAAGTTTCATTGAAAATATGTTCTTTCAGTGATTTTGTATCTTTTAGGTGATTCTGTAGAAAATATTTTGCAATGTGTGAAAATAATTTAAGCCCAAGACTCAATGCATTGTAGCTGCTTCATTCGACTGCTATGTATAGCATAAAAGGTCGCGCGGTCATGCAAAGATTTGGAAACAACACCTCCATGATATGATTCAGCAAACAATGCACTGAGTGCCGTGCTTAAATCCTCAAACATACGTTACGAAATGTCTTTATTTATAGAGGAACTACTTACCTTTTGTAACCAACATCTCCCCAGTCAGTGTTCCACTCACAACTACAACCTCTACTCCAAAAATATTAATTTTGAAGATGTCGCCATATTTCTCCATCCATTCATGCAGTTTTTGCATCAATTTGAAAGTGCTTGTTATTTCCAAGGCATTTCCTGCTATGGGTATTCCACTAGGACCTGGAATGTGTGTCAATCTGCTGCGTGTTTTATTCCATAAAAACCCACAGAGAAGTACTACTGTTACTGCAACTAGTATCGCCAACATGGTGTTCCAGTTTGCTCAGTTGCTATATGTCGAATATGGTTGACTTCTATAAGTATAAAAAGTACTGTATATTCCACGAAAATATAGAACTCAGAGTTAAAACTCACAATAATCTACAATATATAGCAATGTGTATGCCAATATAAAGCAATGTGTATAACAATATATAGCAATGTGTATGTCAATATATAGCAATGTGTATGTCAATGTATAGCGATGTCTATGTCAACATACCAATGTGTATGTTAATATATAGCAATGTGTATGTCAATATGTAACAATGTGTATGTCAATATATAGCAATGTGTATGTCAATATATAGCAATGTGTATGTCAATATATAGCAATGTGTATGTCAATATATAGCAATGTGTATGTCAATATATAGCAATGTGTATGTCAATATATAGCAATGTGTATGTCAATATACTGCAATGTGTATGTCAATATATATCAATGTGTATGTCAATATATAGCAATGTGTATGTTAATATATAGCAATGTGTATGTCAATATATAGCAATGTGTATGTCAATATATGGCAATGTGTATGTCAATATATAGCAATGTGTATGTCAATATATAGCAATGTATATGTCAATATGTAACAATGTGTATGTCAATATATAGCAATGTGTATGTCAATATATAGCAATTTGTATGTCAATATATAGCAATTTGTAGCAATGTTTATAGCAATGTGTATGTCAATGAATATATTGCAATGTGTTGGTCAATGTGTAACAATGTGTATGTCAATATATAGAAATGTGTATGTCAACATATAGCAATGTGTATGTCAATATATAGCAATGTATATGTCAATATGTAACAATGTGTATGTCAATATGTAGCAATGTGTATGTCAATATATAGCAATGTGTGTGTCAATATATAGCAATGTGTTTGTCAATATGTAACAATGTGTATGTCAATATATAGCAATTTGTATGCCAATATATAGCAATTTGTATGCCAATATATAACAATGTGTATGTCAATATACAGCAATGTGTATGTCAATATATAGTAATGTGTATGCCAAAATATAACAATGTGTATGTCAATAAACTGCAATGTGTATGTCAATATATAGCAATGTGTATGTCAATATGTTACAATATGTATGTCAATATATAGCAATGTCTATGCCAATACAATGTGTATGTCAATATGTAGCAATGTGTGTTAATATATCAATATGTAACAATGTGTATGTCAATATATACCAATTTGTATGCCAATATATAGCAATTTGTATGCCAATATATAACAATGTGTATGTCAATATATAACAATATGTATGTCAATATACTGCAATGTGTATGTCAATATATAGCAATGTGTATGTCAATATGTAACAATATGTATGTCAATATATACCAATGTCTATGCCAATACAATGTGTATATATGTCAATATATAGCAATGTGTGTTAATATATAGCAATGGGTATGTCAATATATAGCAATCTGTATGCCAATATATAGCAATGTGTATGTCAATATATAGCAATATGTATGTCAATATATAGCAATGTGTATGCCAATATATAGCAATGTGTATGCCAATATATAACAATGTGTATGTCAATATACAGCAATGTGTATGTCAATATATAGCAATTTGTATGCCAATATATAGCAATGTGTATGTCAATATATAGCAATGTGTACGTCAATATATAACAATGTGTATGCCAATATAAAGCAATTTGTATGCCAATATATAACAATGTGTATGTCAATATACAGCAATATGTATGTCAATATATAGTAATGTGTACGTCAATATATAGCAATCTGTATGTCAATATATAGTAATGTGTATGTCAATATACAGCAATGTGTATGTCAATATATAACAATGTGTATGTCAATATATAGCAATACGTATGTCAATATATAGTAATGTGTATGTCAATATATAGCAATGTGTATGTCAATATGTAGCAATATGTACGTCAATATATAAAAAATATGTATGTCAATATATAGCAATCTCTATGTCAATATAGCAATCTGTATGTCATTATATAGCAATATGTACAAAAGTATGTCAATATATATAGCAATATTAACAGATCATATCATGTTCTCCTTTGGGAGATATTAGGACATTAGTCACTCGTGCAGTCCTAAGGTGAATATCCATATTGTCCTCTGAGGAAGAAACGTCCCTCCCTTCATGCCTGCAACTTACCTCTCAGTCCCCGTGTACTCTCCTGGATTCTGATATTTAGTCAAGTATCTTTAATATATATAGCTTCGATCTTTATATTGTCTCGACTAAATTGAATCGGTACGTATCTACTATATGACGTACATGTATATTGTGCAAAGTTGGCATACGACTGGCTGTGAATCAACTCGGAACCAACAGGTAATTTGACATTTAGCTGAAAACTAAACAAACTAACAGGGTTTATCTCTATAGTACTTTGCAATTTAAGTGTTCATGAGGTCGATCTAGTCCAAAGGCCAAGGCAAAAAGTATAATAGATAAACAATCTTTTTGATAAATTAGGGATGGTTTCGTGATATAAATAATATTGTGGTTATGGTCTCCCCCCCCCCCTCCTCCTTATAACAATATTGTGTGTTGACTTTACTATTAACTTGACTATGTCATTACTGGGGTCCTGGATCAAGATTTCAAATAAAGATGTATTTGTTATTCCACAACTTCATATTTGGACACTACTTACTTTTGCAATTACAAATGAAGTAAAACATTGTTTTTATTAACATGTTTTTTTACATTTTTGTTTCGAAGTTTAGATAAAAAATTGTATTCACACTGTCTTCGTTCATCCAACGGAGCAATTCGTCACTTAAACACCACCTTCTTTTGTTTCATTGAGGTGTATGTTAAATTGACAACGTTCTTTTTAAGGGATTGCATCAAAAATAGGAAAATGAGATTCAAATGAAAAAGGTGGAACATTTTTGGCCCACCCTGTACATACGTATAATTAACATTTTTTCCAATTTTTGGACCATTCTGTATATTGTATATTAATATAAAACCAATGAGAGTAAGCCTTTTATGTACATGAATATGCATGGGTCGGTTGTTCATCCAATTCAAATATATTTTCAGGGAACTTTCTCAGGACAAAAGTACACGCCTAACCATCGACAACGTACAGCGGCAAAATTTACGGGTGTACACTTACAGTCTTGCCAAGAGCATGCACATGAAACTAAACATGAAATACTTCATCATATTCCTTAGATAAATATTTTATTTTTTGCGGGCGCCGTACGGTGCCTGTACTAATGCGACCATACTCACGGCGAAATCAAGACATCGGGGAAAAGTCATCGGCGCCCGGTCGATTTAGAAATCGGCCGGCGCCCGGCACAAATGTGACCTTGGCATAAAACATTAAATTGTAGACACACCATTCCAAGCAACTGATGATTAAGTTTAAATAATGGCTGCCAATCCTCCTTGAAGCATCCTTCAAGATCCTTCACTGCTTTCATAGCAGATCATGTAATGCAATGAATTCCTCTTCGGTCAATGATGTCCTTGAAGACACTGCACAACATTTTCCGGATGGACTGACAAAAAATTCAACTCCGTTGGGACTCGTACCCACAACCTTTGAATACCTTGGTTTAGAATGTCCCCCTAGAAGTCCAACGCGCTATCCATTGCGCCACGGAATCACCATAGCAACCAATACCCAATTATGGATATTACTTTTCAACTATTAACAAGATCAGAACTTATCATCCGTAGATAGGCATACTGATGTGCGTTTTGTTGAAATGGACGATGGGAAATGCATGTCAGATACTCTAGATACATGTGCGCAAGTTGGACACAAGGAGTACATTACCAGAGCATACGATAGCACTATGTGAGATACGGCAGCTACAGTAGATAGACATACTGTAGTGAGTTTTGTTGAAATGGACGATGGGAAATACATGTCAGATACTCTAGATACGCGAATAGAACCATACATACACCCATCAGATACTCCCATAAATAGTACACCGGACAGGTTGTATGATGCAGTCATGTTGTTACCATATATTTACAATAGAACAACCATTCTTATTGAATTTTTCATGTTTTATTCTGGAGACAATTTCCAACATGGAAAAAAATATTTTAAAGAAATTCCTAATTTTATGATTTTGATAGGCTTTTTTCAAAAACAGTCAAAAAGCTTTTTTAAATAGATCTGTAGAGATATCAATGAACATCGCACTGAACATGTATAAGTAAAGATACCGTTTAAACACTTTATAGCTTCACTACACGATACATGATTTCTTCAAAGGACAAGTCTCAGTTTGGAGAACAGTCTCATGGGCTAATATTTTTATGAAAAATATAGAAATAACACCCAAATCAAATTATGAATATTCAAAAGAGGACATTTAAATCTACAATATGTAAAAATATCAAAATTGTCCAAAGCAGGCGTAACGTGCTGTAGACCGATTCAATAAAAACAAGTCTCGATTTGGAGAAAGAAGTTTATCAATGTACTGCGCTGATAATTTTTAATGAAAAATCTAGAAATATCCCCAAATTAAATTCTGGATATTCAAAAGAGGACATTTAAATCTACAATATGTACAAATATCAAAGTTGTCCAAAGCAGGCGTAACGTGCAGTTGATTGATGAACTTCGCTCTCCAAACCGAGACTAGTCTTTTCTCATTTTATAATCAGACAGACTTCGCATATTTTTGATACCCATTTTCTGACATGGTAGAGACTTAGTCAAATGTTTAAATATAAACATAATTGAACGAATGCGTCCCTTAATTTGGGATATTATCATATATGAGTACGGGTCTCTGGTATATCACATACTTTGTGTGATTAAAGAATGCATAGTTTCATCTTGGGATTGCTCTGATCTTGAAGTTTGGACAAACACTAGGAATCTTCTTGAGATAATCCTCACTTTTTGGATCAAGAACATTAAGCTTTCCTTCAGTTGGTTGAAGTAGTGTGAATCGTTGTAACAG